TCGGACTCGACTCCGTCGGACGTGCCCTTCGGCTTCGGTTAATTCGGGTAACGGAAGCAGCTGTGAATAGGGGTGACATCACGAACGACAGGTCTGTGACTCATTCCGTCCTCGAAGGTAGTCTTGGACACAGGGGTTTCCCTGTTCTGTCGATGTCTCCATTCATAGGGCTGGGTTGGCCCAAGCCCGGTCTACGGAAGCCGTTCGCAAAAGGCGTTGTCCTCAGAGGACCATCCTGGACTCATTAGATTTCTCCGTGGGGGGCATTAAAAACGACAAAAAAAAAAAGGTAAACGAGGCAGTGACCGGTCATCTGATGATCTCCATGGTCATGAGTATGGCCATGGCGTTGCCATAGCTCCCCCACAATGAGCCCAGTTATAAGATGGTTTGAGTGCTGGGTTCTTTGTGAAACGGTAGATGTCCCGGGTAGTATTGGATGCATAGTTTCGACTCGGCAAATCGGGGCGGCGAGTTGAAGTTCGTCTGATAGAACGCGGGTAACGATAGGCGCGCGACTGGTCATTGTACGTAACCGGACTCATGCCAAGCACAAACAACGTTCGCGCCAAATACTCTTTGACGGCAGAGAGACATCTGGTCCTACGAGTGTTGTATCAACATTGCCCTTTGAGGAATGTCTAACGAAGCTTTCAAGATCAGATTTCTGCCTCCTTCAAAGCAGCGAGAACGCAAAATTTCTTTCTGCTCGTAGATGACGGCACGGTACGAGGTCAAGTTGCGGCAAGGAGAACATCGGCGATCGCCTACATACGAAGTAAGCAATACCCGAGTCTGCAAGACCGTAGAGGTTGATTGAAACACCCGTGTGAAGATGTTTCTTGCTGGCAAGAGTTTGTGCTAGTTGAGTCTGCCTACATAGCTTCTATAGGCTGCGTGGAAGGTATTTGGTGAGGTTGGCAAGTAAAGCATTAAAATGCCAAGACCAGGATGCGTGCTGTTTGAGGAGAGGTGGCGCATGATCTTGGGCATTAGCCAGACTGTATTCATTGATCTTCAAGTTTGGTCGCACGCATCCGAGCCTCGATTTTGAACTCGGAAAGTTGAGTCGCCTCGGGACTACGGGATAACCTAGGTTGCTCAACTCAAGTCTGCTCAGGTGTTGTAGGAGGTCCTGCCAGAACCCTCCGAGGTATGAATAGGACCGTCATCTGAAAGTTTAGATGGTTGCGAGAGGGTAACGGTTTTCTCAAACGAACTCAGAGGGCTTGCAGGTTGCAACAGGTCAAAGACCCGACATGCTTACCGGCTTTGCCCTCTAAGTGGCTGAACGGCGAACGCGGACTAGACCTTCCAAGCTACCCCGAAATGGAGCTGCCCATAATGTCCGTTCGCAAACGTATTCGCCCTGCAGAATATCGGTTTCGGTCTTTCGTAACGCTAGCCTTGGAGGGGCGTCGAGCACAGCCAGGGAAGATGGAAATAGAGGAAGAGTAATGATCCGCGTATGTGAAGGACGTGATGACAACATTGAATTCGGACGAATGGTCCCCCACAGAACCGATAGGAGCGCCAGGACAAAGTAGTCAGGCGCCACGTCAACTAAGATGCTCTGGGTCAGGACTGGGATAGTTGTAAGATATTTACAGTTTCCCCAACCTCCGCAGGATTACAAGACCTCGGGGTCGAAAGGTAGCCGAGATGGATACTTAGGAAGCGCATGAATGACGAATAGTGTCCTGCTGGGTAGTAAGTTGGTTGAGGAGAGCCCAAATATGTGCGCCTGACTGCTTGGAGCGGGTTGTGTGTTGGTTGACTGGCAGGGACAGCCCGACCTGGCTCACCGACAACAATGGTCCAAGTCCCGGAATGAAGGTTAAGCTTTCCATCGCCGACCAGGATGGCACGGCTCGAGTGGGAATAATCGATGCAATCAGCCAATCATGGGAATGTTGCGCAAGCAAGATCTGGACGATGCTCGGCAGATGGCGATTTCAGCGTTAGACAAGGGTCGGCGGGCACCCAAATTACCCCGTTTGAGCAAGGACTGCGGGAAGAATGAGCCCGGTTCAGGTGCTTGCGTGGTGGTAAACGCCCGAATGTGGCACCAGCTGAATCGGGATTGGGAATACCTAGGCTCAGGGTCAGGGCGACGGTCTGTCACGATGCTGCGTGGAGGCGGAGAGCGGCACATGAGAGGTGTCTGTTCCTTTTCCGACGCGTGTTGCGCAATTGACAATTGACACCTGAAGGACAGACACCAAAGGCTTTGCTTTTCGTCCAAAGGATTTCAAAAGTCGGACCTAGAGCCAAAAGAGGGTAAATTTGTCTTCGTATTCTAGGCACATACTGCAAGCTACCGCAGGCGACCGCAGGCGGTTTGAAAGGGCAAAGGCTAACAGACGGGGTCAGAGCTTTTTTGGATTGTTGGTCCCCAGGATGACCGACGCGAGCGAGAGTGGTCTGCATTTCTTCGGTGATGGTGTGCGGGTGACGAAAGCATACTGAGTAGCGTTGCATGTAATGACCCTACTGAGGCACGATATCCAAATGGCGCTGAACATACCCGTCTCATGGTGCGGTTTCCGTAGATTCAATCTCGATAGCAGCAAGCCATCATGGGACTGTAGAGCCTGTTCCTATTGTGTCAGGACGCACACTGCAAAACGCGAGAAAGTAGGTACCTAGCTAGGTAGGGAGATTATGTCGGCGTGAAGAGAACCAAGATAACCCCAATGGCGCCGAGACCTGTCTCGCGCTTGTGTTCTCGGCTCAACAGACTGTCTGCATCTGCAACTCACAAGAGATTGCGAACTGGGCTGGAAGGACGAACCAGCCCACATTCGATCCAATGGGCGACGGAAATGGGGGTCATGTCTCTGTCGCTGTCGGCTACAAAGTTTGGAGAGGGAGGAATGTGGTGCTGGTTGTCCCATCGAAAAAGAAAAATACGGACGTAGACCTGTTCCCAAAACACAAGAACCCAGAAGGGGGAACACAGGGCATGGTGCCTAGCGTCTCGGATCGGTAGCCATACCAACGACGAGGATGGGGTGGACGGGTAGTTGATACCCTACCCAGCTTGCCAGGATGTCATGAATGGATATGTGCACTTTGGATTGACGCTTCGGATAACGTACAGTAGATACGTTTCGCTTGAGCTAGGTACGCCGGCCAAGTTGCCGTCAGAGATGAAGATGGCCGTCGGCGCCGTCCTTGGTCAGTTGTTGCTGCTGCCAGCGAGGCGCGCAAACGGCGGTGTTTCACCGCTCTTGGAGATCGTGAAGTGCTTCAAGATGACTCGGATCAGCGAGATCAGATGCCTCGAAGGAATTATGGATAGGCCGCCGATTGTCCAAAAAAAAAAAATCGGAGAAAATTAGTTGTCTGCAAGGTGGTGAGGAAGAGGGAGACAACAGTCCCTTGGATGAAGTTCGGAGTCGGTGAGTAGGAGCTGAGGAGCGTACGAAGTACCTTGGCTTACTCATGGGGTGTCTCGAGGTACGTAGCCAAGGTACCCCCGTCATTCCAGCAAGCGAACAGCATCCGTCATTGTTCCTCACCTCGTTGGACAGACCAGACAGGGCGTCGATCTCTTCCCGTGGCTCGTGCTCCACATGGGGCATCGGATGCGACGCTCGGGCCAGCCACTGCAAGGCAAGTACCTAACATGACAAGGACAGGGCAAGAGCATGAGCCGGACAGGAAGATGAAATAAGGCTCTGCTTCTTATTCTTGTTCGCCATATTACTGTGTCCCTGGGGTTTGAAAGGTACGCTCAGTACATGATATGATGTAACAATGAATGCAGCGAAGAGAGCAGTAATAGCCGTAGTAATGGTGGTTAAGACGCTCGCTCAAGTTTAAAATGCCGGGTGATGGCGGCAGATCATGGCAGGGAAGGAGGGCATGAGAACCCCAAGAACGGTAGGCAAGTGCGTCCAATGCAAGCGGCTGCCCCGTGCAACAAGCAAGGAGCAACTGCAGGCACATCTCGTCTCCTCGGAGCTGGGTCTTTCTTCATCATCTTCAGGTGAAGCACTTCAGCGCCCAGGATGGAAGTCTGACAAGCCGATCATCAATACGATCCCGAGATGCTACTGATGGGCGGAAGACTGAGCGCTATGCGAACCAGCCTACCAGGTGTATGAGGAAGTCTGGTTGGTGTTCAAAGCGTTGAGGGCCGGCTCTGGTGTACCTGAAGTTAGGTACCTTACCTCAAGAGATATTGCCCATTCTCTTCTAACCTAATTGTGCCCATTCGTACCTGCCTCATATCTATTCGTTCCTTCTGTAAGGTATAGGTGCGCTGTATGAAGTACGTACTGGTTGTTTAGTGGTGCCTCTTGGACAGATGGAAAAAGGAAAGGGAAGCGCATCTCGTGCCCTGTGCACCGTGACCTGCACCTGCAGCTCTACGAACAACCACCATGGAAGGCAAGAACCTACCTTAGGCTACCTTACCTCATGTCTCTCCTTCCTGCTCACGTTGCTCCAACCTCAGCTCCTGCCCGTCGTCCCTACCTAGGTAGGTAGTCAGCTCAGCTCTATCCGTACAAAAAGGTACATTGGCTGCGCCAGCTCCTGCCTCATTTCTGGGTTTGCTTGGTTCTTGCCGATCATGAGCTGTTCCCGCCCGTGCTCCTTGCCTCGGCCATGTGCCCGTCGTGCCTTCCAATTATCCCACTTTATTATCCCGTGCCACTTGCGCATTCTCTCCATCTGTGACACCGCATCGCACCCTCCAATCCATCTCACCAACTCACGTTGCGTCGAGACGGGATCTTATTTTCCCATTACAATGCAACTGCGCATCTTCACGATCCGTCATGAGCACACATTTGTTGCCGTAATGTTGCCGCGGCCCTCGGGGCTTTTCGATACGTGCTTTGCACACGTCAGCACCAGTGCCGGGCCTTTACCGAGCCAAGCGATCATGGCTCCTCCGTCTCAACCTGAAGCTCCTCTATACATACAATTCCCTCCATACAACGCGAATCGGCGCATCCGTTGCCCGTTTTCGGCTTCAACCTGAAGGGATGGTCGAAAATACAACGTCCCGTCCACGTCACCTGGCAAACCGCAAGTTCGGGAAACGCACCGCTAGAGAGTCCCTGCGCACCCGTCAAAGCCACACCTCCTGTCTTGACTACTCCTGCGTTCCTCTACATCTACATCTCTACTGAGCTCGATCATCACTACGTTCGAACGGGCTTGGTTCTGCACAAGTTGCTTTATTATGCAACGCGCGTACAGACTCTGTCTTTGCGGACCACCACATACACAGCAATATTGCCTCGACCACCAGCTGAGCTGTTCCCTTCATAGCGAAGCCAAGGAGTGGACGGTCCCCATCCCCCACCATCATGCCGGCACTTCTACCTCTACCCACGGATTACCGGGCGTTCAGTGCCGTTCCCGGGCACAGGGCAGCGAAGGTCAAAGTCGCTCAGCGACGGCCATTCCGCATCCGTGGATTAACTTAGATCTGGTTATGGCCATCGCGTCACTGTCCCATCAACCACTCAGTGACATTCATGTTTTGGAATGTTTCCAACTCGACGTGACTTTAGCCGACGGCGGCTGACGGGCGAGATTTCCGCCAAAATACCTACAAGCTACAACGGCATTGGTTGGCCGGGTTTCTTGTCCCTCTTGCCTCACCGCATCCAGGCCCGATTTCGCAAACGAAACTCTCGTTAAACCAAAAACTACTCGCTAGCTGGCGCTTGAGGTTTCCGCCATTCGTCACTTGTCTCGGTTCGCTGAAGCTAGTCATGGGCCTGCTTAGAGCTCTGCTGATGAGCAAACTCGACCAATACCACCAACAAGGCAGAGCAGAGCACTTGCATACTGTTCGGCTGTCTGCTGCATAGGTCGAGGTTGTCGGCCTCTTTCTGACCATACGCATCGCATCGTGAGAAAGTCACGGCTGTCCTGGGGATCACACGGAATGGACGAATGCACATCGTCATCACTGATCGTCGCCTCGTTGTTCCCCCCTCCGCCCACATCGCTGCTTACCTCAGTTTGGTACCATCACCTCAGATGCATAACCGCCCTGTTTGGGAAATAAACACGCTTTCTTGCTTTTTGTCCAACAAGCGCCTGGCGAACCAGACGAGAAAACGAGTCCAGCAGACCCAGACTGCTAGCCCGCCATCCGACCCAACCCAGCCGCTTTGCAGTGCTCCTTACCCCTGTGCCGCCGACTATACGGAGTACCAGCAAGTGACTTGTCTCTTTCATGTCTCTCGTTTTGCTGAGGGCGCCGACCCCCAAACCAGCGAGGATTATAGGTAGCAAACGCCCTCCTATTGTCTACCCCCCTCGGCTCAGCAGTACCTATCAACCACCAAACTCTTACACTCTGCCACACACCGACGCCAAAGCTCGAAGCATGCTGGCTCGCTCGACAGACGCCCTCACCGCTCTCCACGCCCCCAATCACACGATCGACGCACAAACACACAGACACCACCACACCGCACCGGATGCCTATTCCCTTGGCCGCCTGTTTATTGGCCAAGCTGACATCCGCCCAAAAGCCTCAAATCACGACGCTAATAGCCTGTCTTGCTTTTTTGAGCGCCTCCGACTCCCGTCTCCCCTATTCGCGGTCAAATGTCTCGCCTGCGTCCGTCCCTTTTTAAGCTTCTGTCGCCCTTTCCTGAGCGACAATCCGATACCAGGCGGAGGACGGACCTCATATTCCACAGACCCTGCTCATTGAAGGCTAAAGGCTTACCAAAATAGGACTTACGTACCATCGCCTTTTCCCTATAACCACCAACCTATCCTCTCCCACAACCTCTGGCCATCTGACGAGAAGAAGGAAATTTGTATCTCCCAGCCAATCCGATATTCAACTTCCATCCTGGTCCGTACACGACCGGAAATTTCCCCCGCAAGACCGTGGCTCGGGTAATCGCTGTACCCAAAGTTGTAACTGTTTTCGGTCATCGAGGCAAACAAAGCACCACGGAAACAAAGTTTCGCTCACTGATCTACGAATATCTTAAAAAGGGCCGGCCGATCACGAGAGGGGGATCTACGGACATCGAAGCGAGCGTCACACATTGCAGGGAAGCTGAATGACGGGTCAAAAAACGAGCACATCGCAGATACCCGCAGTTGGACAAGGACAAAAATCGAGGGGCATACAAGCAGATTCGCAGCTTCATCGCCGACTTTACAAACGCCAACACCAAGCTCGAGGGTCGTCTAAGTGGTCACGATCATATCATCATGAGGAATCCGAAGCCTCCCACGTAAAACGAATCATCCCGCCGACTCCAAGGTTACGTCCGGTGTCCAGGAACCCACAGCCGTCATGGCACCATGGCCCCGCGCACTGGACAACATTGGTGCATCACAATCACCAGCTGCGTCGCCGCCCGAAGTGATCAGCAGCCGTATAGATACGGCTTATACCCGCATTCCCGATGGGTTGACCGATCACCAGTGGACGATTATTCAGTCCACGTCACTTGCTGCCGCTGCATTGAGTTTTGCGTCCGTAACCTTCGCCTTTTACTGGTTTTCTCGGAGGAGGCGAAGCTTCAGACATGAGTGAGTAACGTTCACTTGGGGGTGCATTGCCATCGCTGGATAAGGCTATTCGCACCAAGACGGAAAACGGGCATTGTGCTGACAACTTAACAGTCTCATTATGCTGCTCATGTCGAGTGACATGCTGAAATCGCTGTGGTTCATCATATTCCCGATCGTCGACTTCAAGAGTGGTCCAGTTGCCTCGAGCTCATCATTCTGCCAAGCCAGCGGCTTCTTCCTCGCAGTCGGCATAGAGGCATCGGACATTGCTGTTGTGCTCATCGCTTTGCACACGGCCATTTACATCTTCAGACCGCGGCATTCCGGGCGACAGAGTGGATTGTATCCCCACCGTCGTCTTGCCTTCGGCGCCTTTGCATTCTTTCCACTATTGATGGCTTCATTGGCATTTATCAACTGGCCCGGCTACGTCAACAACGGGGAGTACTGTTACCTACCCGCCCGCCCCGAATGGGCAAGACTCGCCCTGAGCTGGGTTCCCCGCTACATGATCTTGCTCACTATCGTTGCGCTTTACGCCTACATCTATATCTATGTCACTCTTCGCATGCGGCGTTTCGGTCGACTCAGTGCCATGCGACGTGCGAGTGCAACACATATGCTGGACGATGGGCAGTGGGCCCATATTCCATCGGTGCCAGCCACCCCAACATCACGGCGCGGGTCGGAAACCTCGATGGAAGACTCGGATCAGCAACGTACCTCTTCCACAAACACTACTATGACCGCCGAGATTGAGCTTCTCCACAGCCGGCAGAAGATTCAATGGAACTGGCCGAGCTATGGAAACGAGGACGATGGCCGCATCCCGGAACCCAGTGACAATGTCTCTCCCCGTGCATTCGAGGCCAGCACAAGTCCGCTTTCCACCAACTTTGAACCTATTTCACCTCCTCCTCAAAGCTACATACGCCGCGATACGGTCGACTTGAACCCGCCCCAGACACATTATGATCACGGGAGCTTCAGCACTCAGTGGCAACCACCCAGCAGCCCAACAAGCGCTCGAGCCAAGTCGCTCGCCAACATCTGGTCAATCCTCCGTCGAGGCACCTCCCTCGACTCTGACACAGACCACAACAATACTCCCTTTCTTTACCATCCTACTATTGACGGCACGGGAATGGCAAAGACCCGCGACAAGATTCGTCGCCAACTAAGACTACTTTTTGTTTACCCACTTGTGTACATACTCATTTGGGCGGTTCCTTTTGTCGCCCATGTCATGCGTTGGGACAACCCAGGGCAAGCTGGCCCCTTCGTGGTTGTGCTTTTATCACTTGTGAGCCTGTCAATACAGGGTCTTGTAAACGCATGTCTATTTTGTGCCGTAGAGAAGCCGTGGATTGACACGCAAGCCAGACATCGGAGGACGCCGTCAAAACTACGGCGGGATAAAGACGAAGCCCGGCAACGGGCAGGACGGAGAACATCATTAGCGTAGTCATTTTTCGCCTTGATACCACATGAATTGAATGAACAGATATCATTACCATATTACATCAATATTGGATCAATCCTCATCATGTTCTGGTCGTTTGATGCTGTGCTCGGCGGTGAAAGGTTTATCTGTCGGCAACACCGGAATGCGGACCCACAAACTCCGGCGCAGGAGGCCTGCACGCGCGGCAAGTTCGGTCCTTCGGCCCCACCAGCGCCGTAGGAGCCAAGAACCGAAGCATGCAACGACGCCGACATGTTTGCGACAGTGGCGAGACGTCCACCGAGACTACATATGTCGGCACAAGAAAATGCCAAGTTATTGTATCAAGGTGTCCGACGCGGGGGAACAGCGAAGGATTGAATAGGATTGAATAGGATTGAATACGAGAAGTCTATTTTTTGAAAAGCAGTCTATGTGTTATGTGAGCTGTGAGACGATGGCTGAAGCGATTCTCCAAGTCTCCTGAGCTTCTTGTTGGCAAAGTTTCCCCCTGACCTTCCCTATAGCTTCTTCGGTTCCTCATGAGAAAGCCATCTGTGCCTCTTTCATTGGCATCGAGCTGTCCTCCCCAAGCGCACTCCTTTCCCATCCTATGTGCGTAAGATTCAATCGCCTTGCCAGAATAGCCCAATCTCCCTATTTCGTAAAAGCTCGGTGTCCCAGAATGCCCAGATCTGGCTGAGTATGTTCCCAGTATATGTAGCACCTTCTCACGGTGCGTTCAGAGAAGAAGGTCGTAGAAATCAGAAACGTGTGCCGCAAAAATGAAAAGAAAACGAGATGCCGCCTGCATCATGTCGCGCCATGTTGCTGGTGAGAGCCTCCAGGTCCGTTTATTGCCTTGATGAATGGCAGTGGCCAGCGGGAGAACTTCATTCCTCTTCCGAGTCGTCGGACAGCACAATCGTCGGAGTAGAGTCGTCAGTCTCTTCTTCACTGGCTTCCTCCGCAGCATCGTCGGGAACGACAAAGCCCTCAAGGTCCTCCTCCTCCTCTTCCAAGTTCCGATCATCCGGGTTGGAAATGATTTCTTGAAGATAATCTTCGTAATCTTCATAATCAGGCTCGACGACTGCCCGATCATCCTTGACACGTACCCGGCCCATGAGCTGCATAATCTCGTGCACACTGAGCCCCTTGATGACGTGCCCATCGTCCTGAAGCGCGCGATCGATCTCAACGATCTTATCCGCTTGCATTCTCAGTATGCGGTCCTCGATAGGTGTCTGGACTATAAAGCGCGCAAAATGGGTTTCTTTGTCTTGTCCGTAGCGGAAAACCCGCGCGTATGCCTGCTGCTCCTGCGCGTGATTCCACCAGAGCTCCATAAGGATGACCCTGTTGGCGCGCGTCAGGTTCAGCGCCTGGCCACCTGCGCGCAAGGATGCCACGAGCACTTTGATTTCTTCGTTCTCTTGGAAACCCTTGACGGCGCGAACGCGTTGGTCCTTGGTCTGCTTCCCAGTGAGGTAGACGAAAGGGATGTCCTCGGCTTCCAGCATGCGGCCAAGAATCTTGCCAACAAGGACGAATTGCGTGAAGACTGTAAAGAATGACGACCTCATTAGACAGTGTAGGATGCGATGTGACTTAAAGGTTACATACCGATAATTTTGTCGTTGGGCGCCTCAGCTTGCCAACGCAGAATAGTCTCTTTGCAGGCGGTCATCTTCGCACTAGGAGTCACCGGCACGTCTGGCATGCTGTCACTGATTTCCAAGAAGTGAGATGTCATTTGACGGTTGTCGAAGGTTTGCTGGTAGCCGTAATAATCATTTCCGCGAACTTCGTTGCCCTCAGATTGACCATGCAATATGTTAGTAGGCCTCATCTTGCCGATGATTTTCTTGCATCCCGGACATATCTTGCCCTACAACGATATCAGCAGTAAGAATAATCTCAGTCGTTCAAAACTTACCGCAGTTGTTAAATGATCCAATGCACATTGGTTGCAGAATGAATGCTCGCACTAACACTGTTAGGCAAAGCGCATTGTGGAGGTTCTCTGCTCAACTCACATTGCCCTTAACTGGTACCGTCGGGGTCTCTTTGCAAACTGGACACACTGCCAGTTTCAGCAACTCAAACTTCTCCAGGTACTCCATATGTTTGTCCATGTCAAAATGCAGACCGAAGTTGCTTTGACCAAACGGCTTGAGCGGAGCATCTCCGGGAATGAAAGCATGAGACTGTTCTGATTCTTCCATGACTGACGCCTCAGCGTCAAGCTCAAGGAGTTTCCGGTAAGAAAGATCTTCCACTTCGTCTTGGCTGTCGACCTCGTCCAACTCACTATCGAATTCGCCTTCAATAGTTGTCTCGTCGTCGTTTTCGGAGATACTGTTGTCAAACTGAAGCGTAGCACCACTCTCAGGAGATGCAGCATTCTCTTCGCTGTCCGCCTCGTTCTGTTGACTATCATCGAAGTTGTGCTGTCTTACCTTCTCGCCGACGCTGTTCATGATTTGCTGGAGACGTTCCCCCGACATTTCATGTCTTTTGGTCCAGGACCCGATTTGATCATAAATGCTAGGGCCTCCTCGGAGATCAGCAAGACGTTTACGTACCTTTCTAATGTCGTCGAGAGTCATGTGCTTCCGCATCATCGCCTCGAGAAGAAAGGGATGAGTGGCAGCCTGCCTGAGACGCAGTAGCATCTCGAAACAGGTTTTCCGACTCGGCCCAGCTCCGGGAGCTTCCATGTCTTCCATCATCTTTCGTCTGAAGCATTCTTCCGCCATGCTGTTCACCAATGTCAGGGAGAAATTACGTTCGTAAAACTGGTTCAATTACCTGAATATTACGATTTCCTCCTTGGACATTCGAAGGTACTGATGTGTTGGATGAGTCAAGGGAAGGTTGATGATCGGACGACCTAAAAACGTATCCGCTTGAGTGCTTCGATTTGTCAGTTAATATATAATTGGCAGAAGCTTAAACGACATACCGTCTGTACGCAACGGCGCTGATAAGATGGTCCAGGTTGGCCTCCGCCTTCGACTAGAGACAATGTTAGCTCGGGACTTTGTTGAACAAAAGTCAAAAAACTTACGCCCTTTCCGAACTTAATCTCAAATTCTTTGAAACTGCCAACTTCACAGCCAATGAATTTGAGATAAGGGTATAATTCTGTATGACGTGAGTATTGGCTGGCGATTCCGATCTCGCGAAAGACAAACCGTAGTTTCTGTTGCTAAGAGGAGTTCCACTCAACGCCCACCGATATCGAGCGTCGATAAGCAGACATGCATTCATCGCTGAAAGGAAGAGTATAAGCCAGTGTCCATCAAAAGTGCGAATGACAAGCTACTCACACTGCGTCTCGTGGTTTTTTATCTGCTGGGCTTCATCGAGTACAACACGATGCCACTTGATTTTGAGAAGATCTCCCTTTTCCTCCCGAAGCCATTTCTTGAATGCTTTTTTGTCGCCCTTGAGCTCTTTTCCCTTTAGTTCAATCTCCTCAACAGTCGGGGCGCTGTTGGAAATCTGTCTGTAGCTTGCAAACCTACATAGCAGTCAGTGTTATGGGTTCAATGCGATAGGCTTCTAATGACGTACACAATGTTGAAAGATTCAAGAAGTTTGACGTCCATCTTGTGAGAAGAACTGTAATGAACTATGCGAGTAGAAAATTTCCCTTCGCAGTGTGTCTTGACCTCGTTCATCCACTGATCGATGGTATGTCCGTTATTACAGACGACCAATGTTGCCCCTCGCCCCTTGCTCACAAGAAGATCGTTCGGCTGGTTGCCAACCATGCATGAGAGGGTGACGATAGTCTTTCCCATACCCATGGCATCGGCAAGAATGCCTCCCTGAGGTAATCTGTCCCACCCTGGCATGAGTTCTCTCTGCAACATCCAGGCAGCAGCAGTGAGCTGATGGTGGTGTATTGCGGTTTTCATTCCTTTGATTTTCCATTTGTTGTCAACGGCTTTGCAGTTATTGAAACCCCAGGCTTCGGATGCATCCTCTGTGTCATTTTGCTGGGACTTGGTGCGACGTAGATCACAGCCTTCGGGTATGGCTGCTTTTATTTGCTCAAACTGATCCTTCTTAGTCCTTGCCATGAAGACTGGCTCGGGTCGAGAGTCACCCATTCCAGCTCTCTCGTGGATGGCATCATTGGGCTGAAAGATAGTTGCGACTCGATCACGTCTCTCCTCTTCGTCTTTCAAGGCCTTTGCTGATAGCTTGGCCTTTTTGCGGTGTCTGGTTGGATCGGTAGAGGATTGCTTCTCCAATTCTTTTTGTTTCTTCTCTCGGAGTTCTTGCCCCTTTCTCGCAAAATACTCGGCAGCATTCTTTGGTGGGCCGTTGCGCTGCACTTCTGGGTTTTTGCGTTTCGATTTGTTTTTCTTCTCCCTCGCATTGGCCTCTCTATGCTTCTTGTCATTTTCTACTCCCCCTTTGGAAGCATACTTGTCTTGGTCCTCGTTTGCGGCTCCCTGTGAAGTGATGATAGCCATTTCTAGTCGGCATAGCTCTGCAACCTCTTCAGAGCTCAAGCCCCCCTCTTGCCCTTTCATCAGCAGCTCGGCTTTTCTCACTTGAAGGTGATTTGGATCTGGTGACTCGTCATTTGGACGAGACGAGGTGTGTTGCTTCCCTCGAACAATCGTGGGGCTCCTGTTTTCGGCCTTGCTCGTTTCAACCTTGCCAAAAGCTGAATCTGTCTCTTGCATATCCGGCTCATCTTTCACGTCCTGTGTAAGATCGATGGGTGGTGTACGGCTTGGCAAAGACCATTTATCCTGAGCCCTTGTAGATGCCTCCGTCTTTTGGATTGCCATGAAGTCACAGTCATCGTCAGAGGAGTCTTCAGACTTGATTGAAATTACTTCGTCTTGAGGGAAGTCGGCCTCTTGGGCAGAATCGTCGGCAACGAATAGATCGTCGAGGTCTTGATTACCGTACTGTGATGGAGTGGCGTTGATAGCACTAGCGCCGACGTCGTCGCGGCTTTCCCTGATCATGTCCTCAATAGAGTCGTCGAAAATGTTTGGCTCTTCATTCCGAGAACTCGCTGGGTACTTGGATGAAGGGTAGGAGTTGCCCTCTTCCTCGGAATCATCTTCGAGCTCGAAACCACATCGCGGCTTTATTCGATTGTTTCCTGAATGTGACGAGCTCATAGCGAAAGGTACCTTATCCCGAGGTGGGATAGACGTGGTAAATTGGCAAGAGTAGGTGATGTCCTGCAGATGGTTCAAGTTGCGAGGTATTTCCTTGGGGTTGAGGCTCAATGACAAGAGGGGAAAGTTATTCGTGAGTGGTAAAGTAGATTCGATGGATGGTAAGATACGATACCTCTTGGTCAGTCTGTGGGCAAAGTGCAGATTCGTCAGGGTGAGATGGTGACAAAGCGGTTGATAGAATAGCGGTTTAGCTGGGCAGGCGCGTCGAAGTGTGGGAGTAAGATGATCCTTACCACTTGCAAGTAACTTCGGCGTGTATTTTGACGAAGAAGTGCAAATGAGTTCGAACGTAGTCAAGGAATGTAAAGTGAGTAATGCAGGATGAGCGAGGGAAGCCTGCGAGGTGTTGGAAGAAGAAGTCCTGGTATGAGATACTATGGAACTGACGTTGGGTTGAAGAAGAGTGGAAAGAGAAAGGTGAGAAGTTGAAGTCGAGGAATGGCTTTAATAATCGAGGAAGGAGAGCCTTGATATGTGTTCCTTTCTGGAAGATGTCTAGCTGAAGAGGCAGGAGCCCAAATGCCACATCTTGGATTCTCCCCCTGCACTTTGAAGGTTGGCAAGAGCGATGACTGTTGTGAGAGGGAGCGTAGTTAACAGAAGTAGCTGCATGGTTGAGGTCAAAGACATGGCAACTTGGGGGAGTAAGATTGGTATCCAAAACAGGCGCTGGTCTATTGAGGTAAAGAACTATGAACGAAGATGCATCATTCTCTAAGGAAGCGAAGGAAACCACGAGCGATGTTGACACCGTCATGCTCAATATTTGCGCGATTGATGGCATCGGTAAACATCGCCTCGTCAAAGATGCCAGCCTTGTGGCGAACGTTGAGGATCTCGCTGACGATGGGGCCGGTGAACTCGGGGTGGCCCTGAACTGTGATGAACTTCTTTGGTGAGTAGAATCCCTGGACGGGACACAGCTCCGTGTATGCCAAAGACTCGGCGCCCGCTGGGTTCTCTGTTACGACATCGCGATGCATTTGGTGGATGCGCTGTGACATGTGAATAATTTGTCCAAAGAAAGACCGCCCTCACTCGCGCCGATTTGGAGGTGCGGAAGGTCTGGGTTGAAAGCTTACCATCTTCTCCAGCTGGAAAATCTCCTTGCCCTTGGGCGTGAGGTTGACATCCACAACAGCAACCTCCCAGCCGAGGTCGCTCCTCTTTACCTCGACACCTAGTGACCGCCCGACGATCTGGTGGCCGAAGCATACTCCAATGACTCTGATCCGCCCGCTATCGATGCACTTCTTGGTAAACTCGACCAACTTCAAGATCCACGGGTCGTTGTCGAATGAGTTGTGCTTGCTTCCGGAAATGAGGATGGCATCGATGGAGTCTAGATCTGGATAGACGGCATCATCGCCGACAGCGTGGTATACTGAAAGGTCAACGATGCTGTCGAGCGGCGCAGGCGGATCGCTGGCCAGGGCGGCGGTGCGCAGAAGTGCGGTGAAGACACCGCCATATCCGCCGTACTCGGCGTTGGTCTGCGGCTGCGGTGTATCGGCCTCGAGGATGGCCAGGCGGATGCGGGGTGGTTGGGAGCCCATGTTGAGTCTGATTGAATGAGTTTATGTACAAGATGGGGATGAAGATGCTGCGAAAATGTTATGAGAATGAGTTTCGAGGTATTGTTGCAGGATGAGACTGTGTTATTATTTGCGACAAAAGATAATGAAGCCGGGGAACAAAGCAGAAGATGAAGGAAGCGTGAGAACAAAGCACGGAAGCAAGTGACAGGTGGTGGCTGTCTAGATGCCGGCGCCCCGACCGCGGTCCCGCGGCGATGGTGGGGTTCACGCGGGTCGCGGTTGAGTCAAGTGAAAGGCGTCCACCCCAAGGTACCTGAGTGCCCCGCGATCCGATAGCGGGGGGAACTTACAGCGATAAGGGACCGCGCTATGGATCAGATAGCGATAAGACATCACACCGTTGAAATCCACAAAAGTCAATTGGACCGCCAGTCCCCCAGACTTACTGCGTACCTTAGCTGAAGGGACCTAACGCTGTGCAACGTTCCGACGTCATCCCCACCACCACCACCACCACCAACAGCTCCAAGTTGCTAGTACCGCGCCTCTTGATACTCCCGCGGCAACCTGCATATGCAGTTCCCCATGCGTTAATACTACCAACGCTCGAAGCCTTGTTCCAATACACCGACCTGTCATAGTTGTTCAATGCCTCCAAGGGTCTCCCTCGGCGCTTTCCTCGCCAACGCGAGATCAGCCCTGACGGCTCCGCAACGGGCCAGTCCCTTGACGTTGGTCGTCGGCAACGAATCTGCAGGTACGAGAGACACCCGAGGCTTGGCATTCCTCTATTCATGTGTAAATAAGCTGATGATTTATTTATTCGCGCCCAATAATCAGACCTCGACTCTCTCTGCTCTGCCGTCGTGTACGCCTACCTCCGCAGCCACGCTGCGCCTCACACCCTCCATATCCCCATCTCGAATCTACCCCGCGATGACCTCAAGCTCCGTCCCGAGATGACGGCTGCCCTGGCGCATGCTAAGCTCAAGCCGAGCGACCTACTCACCCTCGACGAGATACCTCAAGACCTCGCCGCGAAGGATTCCCGATGGGTTCTCGTCGATCACAATGCTCTGACGGGAGACCTCGCCAAGAAGTACGGCAGCAGTGTCGTCGGCTGCGTAGACCACCACGCCGATGACCACAAAGTTCCCCAAGACACGGGCGACGAGCCCCGCGTCGTCGAGAAGTGCGGAAGCTGTGCGAGCTTGGTGGTGGAGTACTGCCGCTCAGCGTGGGAGGACCTCGCAAAGTCGGAGACCGGCGCTAGCGACGTGGACGAGCACCTCGCCAGGCTGTCGCTGGCAGCAATCCTGATTGATACCACGAACCTCAAGTCCAAGGATAAGACGACGGAAAAGGACACTAGCGCAGTTTCCTTTCTGGAAAAGTTTACGAGCGGACGCGACGCGTTCTTTGACGAGATATCCGCCGTTAAGGAAGACATATCCTCGCTGGGATTCCGCGACGTATTCCGGAAGGATTATAAGCAGTGGGAGGATCTCGGCGAAGGTTTTGAGGCGAGCAGCCGCCACAAGGTCATGGGCGTGTCGGCCATTGTCCAGAATTTGGATTACCTACTCGACAAGGCTGGCGGCGATGATAATGTCCTGCTGGGCGAGTTCAAGGAGTGGGCCAAGGAGAAGAAGATGGATGTCGGGGTCATCATGACGACGTCGCATCCTGGTGGCAAGTTCCAGAGAGAGCTTCTCTTGTGGGCCTTCAACGAGGACGCTATCGAATACTGCAAGAAGTTCTACCAAGCATACAAGGATGATTTAGGCCTGGAGAGCTGGGGCGAGGGCAGACTCGATGAGGTTGGTGAAGGGGAGTGGAGGATGGCCTGGCACCAGAAGAGTCTGTCCAGCTCTCGCAAGCAGGTTGCGCCTATGCTACGGCAGACAATCAAGGGCGGCACCAAGCTTTGAGACAAAGAAGATGTGTTAATAGTGCGGCACTTGAACATGAAGCATGGAGTTATTATCCGGCGGACTACATCAGCTTGGGGCAGGTCACGCTGGGATGTACACAGGCAATCCCCATTCACCTCGAAAGGCGAAATAGAGTGGTGATGGATGGCTAGCAGCTAAGTATCTGTAAATAATGGCACTATCCATTTCAAATTCATCGGACTGTTCCTTATATCGAAAACAAAGCGAAGAAGCACGCTGGGTTTTGAGAGAGCAAGTCGTAGAGTCGAACAGCAGTGAAGCTCCCAGTCGCTGCTTCATAGCTCAATGTCCAATCACAAAGGCTGGTATAAACCACAATCACTGCCTTTCCCAAAACACCAAGCCCATCATATGGTCTCAAAACAGACCAGTGACCATCATCTCATTATGGATTATCTTGTTTGGTCTGGCACCGCTACATCATCATTCATCATCTCAAATTTCATTGGCTTTTGTCATATCCTTGGTATATCCAAAAGTACCTCATCTTATCCCGGTCGTGCTGCTTCAAGCCAGCTGGGCAACAATGGCATCCAGCCACTTGGCAAGCCTACACAATGTCAGTTTCCCAACTTCATCTAAACAATGCAAAAATCACTGGGGGTCGAGCTTACCTGTAACCCTGCTTGGCAACCTGCATGCTGACAGTAGGCTGCGCATTCGTCGTATACGCGCCACTAATATCCTTACCCTCCACAGCCTCACGGCCATCCGGCAGAACGACAGAGCACACAAACTTGTTACTCTCCGTCGCCCACGCAAGCGCCTGCGACTCGGGGTCCTCGAGGCTCAGCCCGCCGATCCAGCACTTTGACGCCGTCTTGAAGTCGCCAGAGCTGATCTCGGTGCTGAGCTTCGAGGCCCACGACTTTGCGACGGCCAGCACGCTGCTTCCCGTGCCCGTGATGGACTGCGGGATGTTGGTGTCCCACGCGGCGTGCAGGTTCGTGCTGGACCCGTTGAACTCGACGGCGATGCCGTTGCCGCCGAGCTCGAGGTTCTCGCAGTGCAGGGGCTGGCCGATGTCGCCGGTGAAGTGGATGACCATCTTGGCGGCGATCTGGCGCTGCTCGAGGGAGAGCGCGGGCTGCTGGAGCAGGCGGTTGGTGTAGTTTGCGTGGGCGGAGACGATGCAGCCCGTGGGGCCGCAGTCGCGGTCGAGGTCGATGCCGCACGAGTGCGGGGGGTCGTCGAGGGCGTCGATGTAGTGGAAGGTGGAGGTGAAGGCGCCCTCGGTGGTGTAGCGGTACGAGTCGGCCCAGCTGGCGACGTTGGCGAGGTAGTCGTCCGTGGTGTCGGCCAGGAGCTGCTGGAAGTAGGTTTTGGTCTCGGGGGCGACGAAGTTGGTGGCGATGTAGGCGATTGTCGCGTGGCCCATGGAGCCCCAGGCGAGGGCGGCCTTGGGGAGGGCGGCGGCTGCCAGGAGGGTGAGGGGGGTGAGGCGAGCCATGGCTTTTTGTGCCGTGGGATTGCTACCGTGTGAGAAGAATGAGAGACGGGGGGAGAAGGAGGAGGAGGGCAAGGAAGATGGATATGAAGGGCGGGAGATGTGTCCTTGGCGAGCGGGAAGAGAAGAGGAGAATGTCACGGTGAGGGAGCGATGCGGGTTATATGTAGCATTCTGGAGACTCGAGGTCCCTTCCGGCCCACGTGTGGCCAAGACCGGCGCGCATTAGTCCACTTCCATGATCGATGTATGTTCCATGGAGGCGGTAAAGGGAGTAAGATAGGCCGTGTTGGCACGGCAAGACAGGCGAGGTGCGGGAAGCAGGCCTTGGAGGCTGGGTTGGTGATGCAGCATTTCGCAGACCAGGACCCCCATCGTGTTGGCCCTCCTGCTTGTTCGGGCATCGCGAGCTTCGCATAAGTACCGGGCTAAGGTTAACCTGGAGCGTCGATCCAGACTGCGGAGGGCGTTTCCTAGACGCTCATTGGTCGACAAGATCCGAGTTGCACAGCTTTGCAATCAGACATTGCCATGCTATGCCGATATCCGGGCGCGAAAGAGAGAGAGAGAGCGGAGAGTCAGGCACTGGGAAATGTCTGCGTGTGATAGACCAGGGGCCGGGATACAACCTGCATGTTCAGACGACGCAGATTGACTGACGAATGCTATCTCCTCGTTACTCAACCGTGTCACCACGACACAGCCGATTGTTCAGATGCTTCTCTCCAGCAAGTTGAGGCGGAAACGCTGGCGCATTGAAGTTGGATTACACCTGCATTAGTGCCGAGGTGAAGTGGGAATTCGAAAAATATTGTGTCAATGTCAAATGATAATAAGGTAGACTCCGATCCTCCCCCGCAGTCCTGCCGGGCTCACCCAGAGATAAGACGGAGCACTTCCCGAATAGGAAGGTCTGGGATTAGAGCTCGGGCGGGCTAAAAAGAATTTCATCGTCACCAACGCCGGCGGAGGCGAGTTGCAGAGTCGCATTGCCCATTCGTGCAGGTCTTTAGACCAGTGCGATATTTTGTAACATGGCCGTCTATCCGTAGTTGGCGTTGTTGTTATTACAGTATGGTACATTTGAAGTTTGCTTTTGTGTTGAGTGTTGTACATGTAAAGGTGAAGCCTCCATCTCTGCCGCGTCTTCCGCAGCGTCATTGCTGAGTCGATATCACAATCGGTCAACATCGGTGAGCGCCGAGTTCCGCCATCGGACCAGAGACGCCCTTGTTTGCAGGCGCGCTATCTCGCCAAGAACATTTCTCCTGCCGTCACCCGTCCCGTCGACGTATTCCACTTCGGACCTTGAATCTTAGCTTGGAAATCGATTCCAGCTTCCAGGTGAAAGGTCTCAAGCGTTCCTTCGCAACGCCTCGAGCTCCTTGAACATCTTGACAAACTCCAACTCGACAGTCTTCTTGCCGTCGTTGGCTACTTTACTGCCGGATACCATGTGAGCGCTGATGTGTTCCGCATTAGGGTCGGCGACACGGATGCAAGCCTTGATGTCCGGCCAGATCGTCTCGTCTGGCAGCACTGGGGGCTGCTCAAGAATCATCTCGGGTACACATCTCCGGAGGGCGTCGATGCTCAGAGACCTCCTGTTGATGCGTGCAAAGATGTGAAACACTTCCCGGTATAATGCTGACCCTCTGCGTTCGCTGTATCGTGGGGGAAGACTCCAAACCTCCCAAAATTGATCCATGTTCCGCTGAATGGCATACGCTCGGAGAAGACGTACGAGTTGCGCTTCCGAGGGACAAGATTGCATGCCCTTGAGCATCACAAACTCCAAGTTACTTTGAATGCCCCGCAACTTTCCTTGCTCAGGTCCGCCTCGCGCGGGTGATGTTGCGATCGCCTCGATAATTGTCGTGAGCATTTCGTGGTCCATGACTGGCATTTGCCGTTGGTGCATCGTCTCAATGACCTTGGTGGCGAGGTCCGCCTGGTCCTGGCCCAGATCCCCCTCCGCTGTAGGCGCCTGGAAGATGCCTCTCAAGAGCCCCAAACAGTCCTCGACCTTCACCTGCTCCCCCTCCGACCGGATTTTCTCAATTCGCTGGCGATATTTATTCAGCGGGTCTGTGACAGGGCTCGAACTTGCCGAAGGAGTAATACCTGCGTCTTTTGCGCCCACAGCCGCCTGCTCGGTGTCTGTCGAAGGCCGAGAGAGACTTGTGGAGAAGTTTCTCCTCTGCGACGTGTTTGCGTAGTTGGGTTTCCGCGCTCGGATCGTGGTCGTCGGCAAATCACCGTATCGGTTGTGATAGGAAGAGTCTTCGTCGGCCAATTTACGTTCTTGAGCCTCGCTTCGTACGAGCTGCTGGCTCCATAGCCGTTCGAGGTCTAGTTCGTTACGCCGAGACTCGGTCATGACCTGGACAATAATGGTAGATCCAGTGGCTGGTCCACCGAAGCCAGACATCTTGCCTTGCGAATCGAAGCGTTCGCTTTCGCTGTATGTGGATCCACTGGTACCGAGGTTGACGCAGATCCATCCAGTCGAGATTCCATCGTCGCCGCCCTTTGCAACCATGGCACTCGAGCCGAGTAGCTTTGCCTTCCTCCTCATTCTTCGTAGCTTTGTCTTCAGCTCGCCCGGGCCAATCAGCCCGTCCGCGTTTGCCTCGATCTTGTGGTGAAAACGGAGCCACTTCACTAGCCGGGAGGCCGAGACGTGCAGGTGCCGCTCGCTTCGCGACGTTGCAAAGAGCATGAGAAGGTTGGGTCCCAAAGCAGGTGGCGGGTCGAGAGCGCGCAGGTCGAGGAGAGAAAGGTCGTCCAGTCCCATTTCTTCGTAGACATACTTCAATAGAGGCTCGAGGATAGGAGGTGGGTTGCTCGGCAGTTCGGGTAACGGTGACACATCTTCTTTCGGTGGATGTATAGGCGCCTCGACCTCGAGGAACCATGGCGTTTCTTCTTTTTCGCTGACAACCTGGTCCCCGACGTTCTCCCCAATCTTTGCTTCAGCTTCGGTTGCATGGGCAGGAACTTCGCCTGACGTTTTGGGTGCCTCGGGCAGGCTCGAGAAAGCTCTTTGCAGGTTCCGAGGTCGCAGGCTTGCGGTAGTTGTAATAGCGGGAGCTCGAAGAAAGGTAGCTGAGTTGGAAGTGACGGCTCGTAACAAAGTGTTGCGACACTGAAGACAGCCCAAAGCTGCAAACGCAGGTCGGGAGGCCATCTTTGCGTTAGCTTCCTGCACTCCTCGGAGACTGTGGTTGAACCTGGGAGCTTCCTGTCGACAAGAATTGTTGGCGGCCAAAATTCTCGTCCTTCCAGAGCTTGGACCGTGGCTTGGGAGCGCGAAAGTAGATTTTGGCGTATTACCTAATCACCCGGTAAAGTGCCCCATATTTCCGGCCCGTCGCTCCACGAGCCGCGAACTTTGTACTCTCAACGGCATGAAATTGCACTGCAATGGCCGTGTTCGAAGGTACCAGTTCCCGATCAAAATGACCGTTGATTCATGACTGACGTCACTCTGTTTCGAGTTGCCTAATTAGAGCATATTCCAAGTAACTCGGATATTTGCGCTTTGGGTATGGGCCGGCGCAGTGGTTCTTGCCTCCCATCTTTTGAGGTATAAGACGCGCGCCTGAAGATATGCTTACCTAACAGGCGTGGTGATGTGTGCACGTGCAATGGGGGGGGGGGGGTCGTACTGACGAATCAAAGCTCAAGAATCCATGGACAGTTTGATTGGCTTTCTGCCCCACCGTCCCCTTTTTGAGTGGACAGAAAATTCCATTCCAACGACGTTGTCCATTCCACCCCGGCGGGTGGAGTGGGACGACCCCGATTGCCCGAGTCAAAGGACAGGAAAAAAAGGACGGCAAAATTTTGATAGCTTGCGCCTCCTATCGACAAGCTCCCGTCCGCCTCCCCCCCAAAACTTCTCCCTCCACCCAAAATCTGTTGCATCCGCCTTACTGTGTATGCGCCCCAGCATCGCAACACATTAGGTTCATTCTCTGTACTTTGTAATATAGCCACGTTCTTGTCATACTCCTTATACTTAATGCACCGATACCTCTCCTAGATCTTCAACAGATTTCCTGTTGTTGAAACGACGTCACTTACCCCGGTCTGTCCTTTCGTCGCGTGAGCTTTCAAGATGCTCCTCAGGAACAGCCGGAGAAGTCTTTCCCTTCACCACGCAACCATCTTCCGATCCTCTCGACCGACACCAAGATACCCATTGACGACAATAAACGCGAGCGACAGAAGCAAACGTCTTTTTGGCACACAGAACGATGGACGGCCCACGGCCAGAAGAGGTAGCCTCAGCGGCGGACGGAATCTTGCCACCGCCGTAGATGACCATCAATCCATCGCGAGCTCCAACTACGACAGACTGGACAGTTCTGTCCTGTCAGCATACCAGAACGTCTCGGCTCGCCCGAGATACCACGAGCTGCGCGCCTTCGACCCCGCCTCGCCACTGGTACTCCAAGAGAGCAACGCACCGCAACAACCTCGGGGGAAAATAAACAACTTTGGCGTTCCTGGCGATGTGGACGAACTGTTGCCGATATTCGATGCCTGCATCCGTGTCGGCAAAGTCGATCGTGCACAAATGGTCCTCAAGCGCTTGGCTGCTGTCCCAAGCTTCCCTGGCGAAGACTTGATTTTCCTCCACAACCGATTCATCCGAGCCTCTCTCGAGCAGTTGCGCCTCCATCCCGACCGGAAACAAGCCGAGAGCCTTCACAAATGGTACGAGTTGCACATCAACACCAGGGGCCTCCCTCAAACTGCCGAGACTATCGCTTGCATGCTCAAGGCCTCTCTTATCTCCGAACGCGACGCCAGCAGGCGTCACCGGCTGGTTACTCGCTACATGAGACTGGCACCCGGCGAGGCGGGCTTGCAAGTCTTATCGATGGCCGAGATCCTGAGCGACCAAGACCTCGCAGTCATTACGGAAATCTGCCCCATATACAACCTCGCGCCTGAAGAGGATACTTCAGCCGCTGAAGTCAATGATGAGCATG